CACTGTGTGTCCCTGAGAACTTGTGTGCCAGCCAGTATTCTTCAGCATTTGCATCCAAGATACAGTAATGTGCTGACAACTTGTGCATAATGGCTTGCAATAAACCCTGCTGATCAACAAACATTCTTATTGTTTTACTTGTCCTTTCTGCAAAAATCCTATGTCCACACAAAGTAATATAGAAAATATATCAACGGTAAAGACTAAGGAATGCAGTTACCTGAACTGCATGGCTGGTAGTAATCTTTTTGTGAGACATTGCAGTAGGTAATTACGTAAGGCTCACTGCTCCTTAAAGAAATTCCTTCAATTAGAATATCACAAAGGGGATTTTAGGATAACAGGTTTTCCTAGGTTGAATTACAAGATTTTTATGACCATTGGTCCAATAGAGTTTTCCCAATTTTTGTGGGAGTTGAGGAGAAACCTAATTTGCACAAAAAAGGACAAGTTTTGGCAGTTGCTGAAACTTGGCTTTAAAAAAATAGGAATACATTTGCTATATTCTCCCTTTTTTGAGAGCCAACTTCAACTTGACAAGCAAAGCTTGATATTGTTTTCTTCCAAAGGAAGATGCAAGATTTTACAGCTGTCTCCTGCGAAATGAGTACTTCGAAATTTGTGACACAACTTACTGTATTTAGGTTTGAGTTATCAAGGTTCAATAGCATCAAGACCCATATCCAGTCTTGAATCAATTTCAGCCTTAAAATTGAGCAACTGCCATGCGTATTAATTAATGGAAATAATTATATGGATAAACTCCGGAACCAACATTGATTGTCGATCTCAAGCATTTCATTTATTATTTTAAAAATCGGGCATTGATTCAAAGTTTACGCGACTTTTGTTATATTCTGAGATTTTAAAAAATTGTCGGCAGGAATAAAAGACGGAATTCATGCTCGCAGATTTTAGAAATCTTTTGAATAAATAATGAAGTTTCTCCTCTCTTTTTCTTTCGGCATCATACAAATTTGCAAAAACTTAATTTCCACGAATGACGCGTTTGAATGTTATGCTCTCTGCTGATGATGCAAATGCTTTGATTTTCCCCTCGCGCTGATCTGTAAAAATAAATCGAGTAAGGAGAGAAAAAAAGAGTGTAAAATTATGCTCCAGCGCCATTTTTCACTGTTCTGCGAGTAAAGAAAAAATCATCAGGAACTCAAAAAACGAAGACATGAATCATCAAAGATAGACTTTTATGCATACATGAAGTGGGAT